CCCTCCCCTCCCGCGCTAGCCTAAGGGCCACCTTAGCAAAGCGCATCCCAGGCTGCATAGCCGCACTACCCTACCCAACCATACCACACATAAACATGACACAACCCCCGGAGCTTACACAGACGACCCGGTGAAGCAAGAAGAGCGCCAGAGGAAAGGGCCCTAGCCGACGGGGCCCAGCCAGGACAAAAGGAGGTCCCAAAAAGCGCCTACACCGGCCGCATTTGCGGTCGGGGTAGACGACGGATGGGGCCCACCTACGAAGGTTGTCCAGGCCTATACGAGATGAGGCAGGATAATGGCGCGCGGCTAGTCCAAAAGATCCAAAACCTTTATAACTCACTTTTTGTGCCGATGTAATGAATCCATTATTCGTTCTAGATTCATAGCTTTTGTCAAAATTTTACTTGACAAAAAATCTGTAATCATTTCATTTATTCACACATAGGCAACTTTACTGGTAAGAGATTGAAAATTACCCCCACTACATGACTCCAGAGCCCGAGAGGACAGCGATATGTGTCTGTCCTTTTTTAGACAGAGACAAAATAAATTTCTGTTGTCTCTGTTAGCATTCATTTTGAAATTTAACAGCTGACGCCGGAACTTCATCATGATTCATACGTTACAATATAATTTTAGAATTTTCAGAAAATGTAATAATGTGAATGAAGAAATTATACGTGAAACATTGCCAATGACTNCCACACTTATACACCATTTACAACTCCGACATCCCACATCCCCCCAACACCAATATATACTTATACGCCGACGACCTGACAGTCACATCCCAATCCGTAAATCCTAGATATTTCGTCTCCCTCCTCCAAAACTCCTTAAACCAACTTGAAACCTGGTGCAACAGGTGGAAAATCAAAATGAATCCCAACAAAAGTTCGGCTATCCTTTTTACCAAACGAAAAATACCACAAAGCCCATCTCCTGGAATCGACAAACACGATACCTGGGCGTGACGATGGACCAGCGTCTCACGTGGAAACCGCACATCGTGGAGACGGTAGCGCGAGCGAAGACCACCAGGGCTAGGCTCTATCTCTTACTCAGAGGTGGAAACACCCTCAGTTTAAGGAATAAGTGAACGCTTATCAAGGTGGTACTTTAACCGCAGCTAACCTACGCCTCCACGGCGTGGGGTCACGCGGCAAAAAGCCACTTAAAGTCATTACAGGCTGTGGAAAACATAGCCCTCCGCACGGCCACCGACGCGCCCTGGTACGTAAGAAACTGACATATTACGAGACTTACAATACACAAACGCTACACAGACAATAAGACAAAATGCGGAGAAACGGTTTGACGTAGCCGCTAGACATGACAATCCCCTCCTCAGGCAAGCCGTTGACTACGTACCCGACGTGACCAGCTGGACATAACCGACAAACACAAAAGACCTAGACACCAACTTTTTGACCCTGGGTGACCGCCCCAACAACATCCCCCCCCCTCCCGCTAACCTTTTCTGTTTCAGAGACCGCCAGGAACAAGAAACGAAGACAACGACACACACATACACACCCCCCCATACCCTCCTTACCTTTCCCTTCCCGTGCTAGCCTAAGGGCCACCTTAGTAAAGCGCATCCCCGGCTGCATAGCCCAACCCTACCCAACCATAGACATGACACCACCCCCGGGGTTTACACAGACGAGCCGGCGAAGCAAGAAGAGCGGCAGAAGAAAGGGCCCTAGCCGGCGGGGCCCAGCCAGGACAAAAGGAGGTCCCACAAAGCGCCTACACCGGCCGCATTTGCGGTCGGGGTAGACGACGGATGGGGCCCACCTACGAAGGCTGTCCAGGCCTACACGAGATGAGGCAGGATAAAGAGGGATAATCCCCCTCGATCCCAAATCATCGCGGCCAATATCTAGCCATGGAATAATGGCGCGTAATGAATCCATTATTCTTTCTAGATTCATAGCTTTTGTCAAAATTTTATTTGACGAAAATTCTATAAACATTTCATATATTATTGTTATGGTTTGAAAAACGAAGTACATTGAATATTTGACAAATTTATTTTATCTTTCATATGGATTCATATAATTATCAAACCCTTATAAAATTAGAAAATTTGGGAAGAATACTCTCTGATTTACTTGAAAAAGTGGATAATGAAATTAATCAGACTGATGTCGAGTGGCTTCATTTAAAAAGTATATCTGAGGTACAACATTCAACAGCCCCTAATAATGCGAATATTTCATCAGCAAACATTTCAGTGAAAAAAGAAGTTCCCACTGAGAAACCACAAAATACAAATTCTTGTTTCTCAAAAATGGAAAATGAAAATATTGACGATCATTCTGTTAATTCCATAACACTTGATTTAAACCCTCTCGGACAAAATTGTTTTAACCGAAGAAATGATGAAGAATTCGATAGTGATTGACTCTTTCCCCTTGTTTAAATGTTCTAGATTGTAAGTTTAAATGCTTAATCATATATAATATAAGTAAGTACTATACTGTTTATGACATGTTTCATTTAATTTAGATTTAAGAACCGCTAAATATAGTGAAAAAAATCAATTGTGAGTAGATGTTATAAAAACATGTATAGGCTGTTCTACTGGATGTTTTGAAAGATATTAGATACAAGAAAAACTGATAAAATATTTGTTTGCTTTAAAGTATGTAAATATCTTAGGTATTTATATACAAGGAAACCAAAATATTTGAGCCGTGATGGTAGGAAGCACAGTGGCAAAGTAGTGGAGTAGGGAACTATGAATTACTTGTTGCCTGCATTTCCATCTCATTTGCCCTAAATGATTTGCCTATTTCTGGGCCCAAGTGAAATTTGTTCAGTTGTAAATATAGCAAACGCAGGGTGTTTTATATTTGCAAACTCAATACATTTTTAATTGCTATTTAAGACCTCAAAAAATTTGCTTCATTTATGTTAATATTAAATTCTACTATAATGTAATTATTTTAATTCTACAAAATTTTTAATACAATATGTCAAAAACATGTTCATATATAGGTATCCTTAACAGCCAACTCGGAAGAGGGTTAAAGGAGGACACTAGGAATTTTTTAGCGCTTAAAAAAATATATAATCGCGTAATAATATTAATTAATTGATCTATACCTACAAATTTCTGCATAATCAGGAAAAACAGCATATATTTTTTTATAGAACATATAAACATTAATAAAATAATAAAATAAAAAAAATTAACATTTTAAATGTAAAAACAGGCTTTTACTTAAGCTTATATATATTTTTGGCTTTTAGCTGCATCCAAAAATTTTTTAGAATCGCTTGTTTGATATCTCCGGAATTCTACTTAAAATGCAGTAAAATAATAGAACAATATTACATTAACGAATTCAAAACCAAGTTGATTACCTTGGAAAATTACGTTGAAGATATAAATCCCAAGGTCTTTCAACCCAGACAAACGTCATATGTTTGCAATCGTACAGAAAATGAATCAATCAGATGAGTACCCGTACTATATCATTAGAACTAGGAGAAGGCGTTTCCGGTAATCTTTGAGAAGTCTTAAGCAAGTATCCTAGAGCGCAGGTCATAACAGATTTGGAGTATAACCCAAACAGTATCAACCTGTTCAACCGCATCAAGGACGATATACCTTACATTACGTGTAAATTTCTTAGAACATTTTAGTGTAAAGGAGGACAAACTGCATCCTCCAATGTACCTGCGGAGGACGTAGGACTGTCCTGGCTGGAGGAGGGTTGGCAACCCCCTAATGCGTGGAATGAGGGTATAGCCTAATTGTGATAGAAGATACATGATATAGACAGTGGTGGCTGTTGAAAATTAAAGTGTTAATGTTTTGATACTGCAGCATGGGGTCCATACCATTTTTAAGAGCTGATTTATAAGCTCACATAAAGAATTTCCATAATAAAAAAATTTTGAATAGAATTTGAAAAATAAAATAAAATAAGGGTTTGTATTTTTTCATAATGGACTGGTAGATATGTATATACAAATAGGTATTTTTTTCATTTTTGACACAATCCAATTATTTTTATATCCATTTAAATTTTAAAATGATAATTTCTATTATTCAAACCTCAAAATAACTTGAAATGAAATTTTAAATTTTGAGAGAAATAAAACAAAAGCCGTTTGTATTTATCAGTTGATTTGGAAAAAAAACTATTTTGCAAATACGTATATGTTTAACTGTCTTGGATATCCCAAGATGGGCAACCCGTAATTTCATTTTTCACTTTGCAGATTTCTTCTGCAATTTTTTGTGTCATGAAAGTTCTCTTTGTGAGCCTATAGTTTTTTCTCTAACCATAAACTGATGAGGTTTGGTCTAATGTAATTTAATAGACATTGGACCTTGCATCTTATAAGACGTACATCTCCATGTTACGACTCAAAAAACAATTGAGGCAAATGTTGCAAGTTTGCCTTATGTTGGTCACGTGAAAACTGTCCTGTTTTCTCCTTTATTGTTCAAAATACAAAAAAATTATGTAAGAATAACAGTAGGGACTTAAAAAAATTTTTTCATGCATGTCCCACAAAGACAATTAATAATAATGATGATGATTAATAATAATAATAATAATAATAATAATAATAATAATAATAATAATAACAATAATAATAATAATAATAATAATAATAATAACAATAATAATAATAACAATAATAATA